CCAAAACAGGCTCCAGGCTCTGAGCTGTCAGCACAGAGCCCGACGCGGGGCTCGAACTCACGGACCGTGAGATCATGACCTGAGCCGAAGCCGGACGCTCAACCGACTGAGCCACCCAGGCGCCCCAAGGACTCTCCTGAATTTAAATGTCGTCTCACTATCATCAAAAAAAAAAGAAAAGAAAGGAAGAAGAAAAAAAGAAAATGAATTCAAGAGAGGACACTGAAAGGGAAAGGACGAAGCCAGGAGACTGGAGGAGAGTGTAGACGACTGAGGGCGCAATAGAGTGCATAAAGGAGAGTGTAGACGACTCAACATGCAACACAGCGCGTAAAGGAGAGTGTAGACGACTCAAGGTGTAACAGAGTGCGTAAAGGAGAGTGTAGACGACTCAAGGTGTAAGAGTGAGTAAAGGAGAGTGTAGATGACTCAAGGTGAGCAGAGTGTAGATGACTCAAGGTGTACCAGAGTGCATAAAGGAGAGTGTAGACGACTCAAGGTGTACCCGAGTGCATAAAGGAGAGTGTAGACGACTCAAGGTGTAAGAGTGAGTAAAGGAGAGTGTCGACGACTCAAGGTGTACCAGAGTGCGTAAAGTATTCATCTCCCATCCTCTGTTAAGAGATAGTGACGACAAGGGAGGAAGCAGCAAAGTAAAGCACGAGGCTTGACACAAGCAGGACATCACTGAGAGTCTCTCCATGTATAAAAATGTCACTGGAATTTGACGTTTCCTCAGCATTGTTATTGTGTCTTTTACCGGATTATATTTATTCTGGAAACAAATCAAATACCGGCATAGGCTTTATGTTAACAAGAACTGGTTGTGATTACCGAAAGCCTTTAGAGCCATTAAAAGCAAAAAAACAACACTACTTAATCACCTCCAATACTGTTTTTACGTTTTTCTTTCAGTTGAGCAGACGAGTGCACTAAAGGAGTGGGCTTGCTGCCACCAGTGTTTAAAGACGGTTTTCTCCTGGGATGACTTCATTTAATCATCCCAACACCACATCGTTCCTGGGAACCACATTCACAACACAGCCGTGTATACGACAAAACCCACTGACACACGTTATATCTGAGTCTACAAACAGTCTAGGAGCACAGCCATTAGCTACATTACAAAACAGAATCACAGAAACCAAATCCTCTGGGTTCTGTACGGAGGGGGTATCCACAGCATGAAAATACCCTTACATCTTATTTACCTTTCCTAGAAGGAAAGAGTAGATAACCTGGGGACACGACCGACTTCTCATAAAATGAAAAGCATACTTTGAAAACGAGCAGCATCTGGCAATCATCATCTTCGGCTTGCTCCCCACCGTGACTCCACTCCCTCGCGCCACCCTGCATCTCCACCACCCTCCTCTGTTCCCCACCACAGTGCAAGTGGCCCCCCACCCCCCGCTCCTCCTGTAGTTTCTGAGTTGAGTATACCATCACATTCAGCTATCACTTCTATGCAAAAAGTATAAACTCTGTCTCTTAGTGTTGGTCCCTCTGATGACTGCCTGAGTCCTACAAACGCTTCCCTGACAGCTCTGTCTGGGGGGCACAGTAAGAAAATAACTGAACACAGCGACTCCAGCCAGACTGCCTAGGTTACAATCCCAACCGCACCATTTGGGAACTGAACGGCCTTACAGAGCTTCCTCTGGAAAACAGATGCTGCCTCATCTGGAAAAGCGGAATAAAGCTGTAAGCCACAACTCAGTGACAGACTGCAAAAATTAAGCTAGGTGATATCCCACTGAGGCAAAGCATTCCAAACAGTGCCCAGCACACAGAAGGCACTCAATGAAGATCAAATAGGATCGTCACTTTATTAGAGTATTTATAGCTGTGACTTCAAATACAGCCTGTTCCAAACCAAAACATGTCTTCCCCCCAACTGAACTCCCCGTCTGGCATTCCCCATTATACTGTAGCCAGTGGTCTTAGAGTCATACTCATCAATGTTGAAAGGATAAAGAATTCTTCTTTTTTAAGTCAACTCCTTCCCTCCCTACCCGAGCGCCTCCAGGTGAGACGAGGTCATCGGCTCCTGAGCTATTGCAACTCTTGCCCTCCATGCACTCCTGAGCTGTACTTGTCCTTAGGCCCGACCATCCTTCCCACTGCTGCGAGAACTAATCCTGAGAGACCAAGGGAGCAAACACGGCTAGAAAAATAGTCCTTTTAAAATACCTTGTACACTAGTATAAAAATCAATACTGTACAGGTACAAGGAGAAATAACATGTTTTTTTATATAATAATAAATGATATTGGAATAATGTGGTTGTCCCTACACTGTTAAGGGGAAAGATCTGAAACAAGTACAGGTACTATATGAAGAAATTATACATTCCCGGAGAGTCAAAGAAGGCCCAGATACCTTACTCGTGGACTGGAAAACTCAAAATGTAGAGATGCCATTTCTCCTCTCAAAGTCACCATGAGATTCAATCTCATCACAATCAGAACCTCAACAGTATTTCTTCCTCGTTGAACCTAGAATCTGATACTAAATCTATGTGGAAGGACAAGGGGCAAAGAAAAGCCAAGATATTCTTGGTAGATATCAAATATCTAGACTTAATACAAGGCTGCATCAATCGCTGTGTGGAACAGCACCAAAAGAAAGAAAGAGATCAATGGAACCACACAGAGATCCCAGGGACAGACCCAAACATCTATGGACACTCAACATCAGAGTGAGTAATACATACACAAAAGGAAAAGAATGGATTTTTTTAAAAAAAAACAGTAAATGATATTGAAAAAAATTCACTTTCTACATGGGGGGAAAAAAGGACACTGGACCCCCTTCCTGGTACAACAAAAATTAACACCAGATGGATTATAAACTTAAAGTATAAGAGGAGACATTTAGAAGACAATATTACAGAATACCTTAACTCTGAGGTAAAGAAAAGCTTCGTAAATAGTAAGAGCACAGACCCAAAGGAAAAAAATAAATTTTAATCCAAAATTTTTCTTCATCATAAGATACCATTAAAGGAAGTGGGGAAAAAAAAGCTACAATTGATGTCTGCTGCCTATACAACATGTAAAGATTAGTATAGAGAATACATATAATATATTCCCACAAACAGTAAAAAAAAAGAACAGGAAAAAATATTTAAAAAGCCATTTCACGAAAAAAGATAGACCCAAATGGCCAATAAACATATAAAAAGATGCTCAACATCATTAGCAATCAAGGAAATGCAAATTAAAAGCACAGTGAGCCATCACCTCTCCCACGAGACTGGCAAACACCTAGAAGTCTGACTATATGGAGAACTGGCAAGAACGCAGCGCACACCTGTTACTGCAGGCAGTGAACGCTGGTACATCCATTCAGGAAGAAGAGTCTGACATTACTGACATCTGAATACACATTCACCTGTGACCCAGTGAGTCAACTCCTATGTCTGTATCCTAAAATAACGCTTGCCCATGTGCCCCAGAAAACATGTTCACAATGTTCAGAACAACAGTGTTCATAAAAGCAAAATGCTGGGAAAACTCAGTACTCGACCAATAATAAGATGAACAAACGGTGACAAATCCATCCAGTGAAATGTAAGAAGGACCAGTTATTTTATATCCATCAAATGGATAAATCTAAAATCCTTTTGCTGAGGAAAAGAAGCAAATCTCTAACATCAGTAAGTCCAACAAATGGAGTTCAAAGCAGGACAAAGCTAAACCACACGTTGTTTGGGGCGATACTCTTCCTAAATGTAGATTTACTAATAAAAGTGAGGGAACAACTCACAAAAGTCAAGGTAAAGATTACTTCTTAGGGATAGGATACAAAAAAGGGACACGTGGTGGTTTCTAAAGTCTTGGCAATGTTGTAATTCTTACACTGAGTGGTTGCTATATAGGTGCTATGTTTATTATTATGTAAACTGTACATGTTTCATAAATGTCTGATATATTTCATTTGATGTATTTGACAGAAAAACCCATGGGGGCTGAGTAAGAACGGGATGTGGAGAGGTGGAGCATGTAAGAAGTCTGGCTGGAAAGACAAGAAGGAAAGCAGCAGCACAGCTACAAGGGGCCCCGGGACCGATGAGTCCTGGGCAGGGATAGCTACAAGGGGGCCCTGGGACTAATCAGACCTGAGGTTTCACTACCCATGGAAAGGCACCAGTGAGATGAAGAGACGTTGAGAACATAGGAAAAGGAGGACATAATTTATAAACCAAGGTTTCCAAGAAGGTGAACAGGAGGAGATATAGAGCACATATGCAAAAGGATACTTCTTTCACTTGAACGTGAAGGAACAAAAGAAAGAAGGACTTAGATGCCCTTCTCCTCCACTGAACTTCACTCCCCTCAAGGCCAGGCATCGTTAGTATCGAGAACAATGTTAATGGGCAGGAAAGAAAAAAGAGGGAAAGACTGTTTTGAGTTGATCCAACAAGTGTAGACTAGGTTCCCTGAGAAGAAGACATCATTACTACTCAACAAATATTCAAATCATCCATGGGAAACGTCCACATTAAAGTTACATTCTTTATCACGTAAAGTCAAAACAGTATAATCTTAAAACTCCAATTCATACTTTTTTTGATACATACTAAATTTCATATATATGTATACATTTACATACATGTGTATATATGTATATATGAATATATATTATAAATACACTGTATATATATATATATATATATAATTAGGGAATTTTTTATTTTTTTAAAAAAGTTTATTTATTTTGAGAGGGAGTGAGCGAGTGCGCACAAGCAGGGGAGGGGCAGAGAGAGAGGAAGAAAGAAAATCCCCAGCAGGCTCCACGTTGTCAGTACAGATCCTGATGCGGGGCTCGAACCCACGAGCCAGGAGAGATCAGGACCTGAGCCAAAATCAAGAGTCAGACGTTTAACCGACTGAGGTACCCAGGCACCCCTATTATTAGGGAATTTTTTAGAAGTTGATTTCCTGAAGTTCTTACTTCACTTATTTAAAAACAGGGAAAAAACAACTTCCACTTACTTTATGGAGTTTCTAAAGTGGTCTTCAGCTGGGTTTTTTACAGTACAACTATTCAGGAGCCATAGATCTGCGTCTGATGCATTTTCTATTAAAAAACAGATATAAAAAAGAAATTTCAGTATCACATTTAACCATTCACAATCACTCAAGCGCTTACCCCGACGGCACGGTGACAGACGCAGTGGACAGTCAGGTAGGTACGTTGTCAACGGCATCACGCTCCCTAACTGCTATACAGACTATGGAAATATTCGTGAGAAATACAAAAATTTAGAACCTGTGCTGTATCTTTTCAGTGAAAAGTATAAATAAGCATTTTCTTCCCTTACTTAAAAACTTCCAAACACTTGAGTGGAATATGCAGTTAACTGCCCCTTTTTGGACCGTGTCAATATTTTCCAGGTGGAGATATTATCGTACACTGAATATTCTGCAGCTTGAGATGCTGTTAAAACTATAATTTGTCTTCCCTGAAAAAGTTAATCATTTACGTCAAAGTGAGCCTTTCATGCCTCTCACCAGTTTGCTCCAATATTGTTATGTATGTGGTCCCCCCCATCCTGGGTAGGGTCATGTCCCAACACCCCCAGGGGATGCCTGAAACCAGACAGTACTGAACCCTATAGATGCTATGGTTTCTTCTGTAAATACATATCTGTGATAAGGTTTCATTTATAAATCAGGCAGAGTAAGAGAATAACTAATTAATAATAAAATCGAACGATTATACTCGTATGGTGCAACAAAAGTTACGTGAACGGGTCTCTCTCTGTAAAAGTATCTCACCGTATTGCACTCACCCTTCCCCTAATGACGAAGTGAGACGGCAAAACGTCCACGTGAGGAGATGAAGGAGGTGAACACACAGGCACTGGGACGTAGCGTTAAGGCTACTACTTGACCTTCTAGCAATACACCACAAGGAGCACCACCTGCTGCTGGACTGTGACTGACCACGGGTCACCGAAACTGCCGATGAGGGCTGGGGTTGTGGAGGGGGGACTCCCATATGATGACAAACTCACTGGCCATGCAACCGAGAATCCCAACCCGTCAACTTACGAAGTGAGTTTGTAAATGCCTACGGTGTTTGATGCTGTTGCAGCTACCCTGTTGTCTAACAGGACGTACACACCGAAACAGGACTCCCACAACGAAAAGAAATCCGAAATCGAAGACTGTAGCACCCACAACGTATACGACTGGAATACCAGAAGCTAAGGTGCAATGACATGAAGAACCACGAGGACAAGCCGATGCCAGCGTGCACATTCTCCACCCAGGAAGGGAACCTCAAGTGACAGCATTCTGTCAAAGGGATGATGGCGAGCACATCAAAGCTTCTGGCAAATTGGCAAAGACTTTTTTTTCCCCAAACATTTTATTATAAAAAAGATGAAATATTTTTATAGACACCAGACCAAAAAATTCTTGAATCGATTAAAGACAAGGTGCCTCTACCTGTTTATCAGCTGAAGGCTACGATCCCTCCTTCCCTGTCTCACTCCTTCCATCCGTATCCCCCTCCCACACCTCATGGTCTATTTTCCCTCCCAACAGCCAGAGTGACCTTTTACTTTAAAAATCTGGTTATGTCACTTCCCTGTTCAAAGTCAGAAATGATGAGTATTTACCTACCTGCCCGTGTCCCCTCCTAATTATTCTCCACGATGCCGCCTGAAAGACCTCCCTCTAATACCAATCGTCTGATGACTTCCAGTGGTGATCAAGGCCTTTCCAGATCTAGCTACCTCCCCAACTTCAATATGAATTTCTCCCTACATTCATCTGTCCCTCCAGCCACAGCAAACTGGTTGTAATTGCTAAAGCCTGCACTACTCTAGCGGGCTACAATATCTTTGCTTCACTAGTCTGCCTACCTGGCTACCTCCTACTCATCTTTCAGGTGCAGCCTGAGGCCCGCAGATGCGTCTTCTCTGCACCCCATGGTAGACTGCGCCAAGACTATTCCCGCACTTCACATTCCGTATGAAAAGAATTCATCCCCCCGGCCTGTCTTCATTGCTACGTAAGACATACTGAAGACAGCATTTTTATCTGCTGCCCTCTGAATGTCCGGGGCCTAATACAGCGATGGGCACAGAATCAACATTCAAACACCCGTGCAACACTGAACAATGTGCCAGGAGGCTCAAGAAGAGAGAAGGAAGACGCTAGCGCGGAACCACATGCATATGGCACTTCCGCCTTTCTGCTAAAGCTCTGAAGGCGAGACTCATGTTCGTGAATAAGCTTCAGCAATTTGTTTAACAAACACTTAGGGCTGAGACCTGATCTTATTCACAGTTATACCCCCAACACTTATTACAACACCTGGTCCATGGGAGATACCCATTAAGTATGTACTGGGGGAATGGTGAATTTTAAAGACAATCCTAAACTCCGAGCAATGTATTACACAGATAAGTAAAGGTCATGGGTGTCTGTTAGCTAATGACAAAATAAATAAAAAAATAAATAAATAAGTAAATAAATAAAGGCTAGGCATTTATCTAAAATCAACAAACACCTAAAGACAGAACTATCTGCACCAGATGCCAGCTTTTGTATCATGGCACATTCTTCTACTCAGTCACCTTAAAGCCATCTCTCACCCTACATAATGCAACAAAAGCCATCTCAAGAAGAACTCCAGCAATAAATAAGGCAAATTATTCCACTCCGTCTGAAATGTGGCAGAATGTACGGACTCTCAGAACAAGGTGACTGTTACGCTCAGTGATCTAACTGCAATGAACAGGAACCCGATGAATATACCAAAATGCCTACAAAATTGCACAACTTTTTAACCACCCCTCAAAAGACAATGTCCCTTCTCCAATGAACACAAGAGTCTCTTATCCAATTATTTCTGAACTCAGTTTTGTTTTAGTGCATCTTACTTAATATTGTCAAAACACACTATTTACAAGCACAAATCAGTCAGTACACAACAGTAACACAATGAGGATTTACTATGTGCCAGGCTCCATTCTAGGAACAGAAGATATGGCTGTGAAAAGAGTTTCTACCCTCAAGGAGTTTAAGTCTTGAGAAGGAAGTCTGATTTAAAAAAAAAAAAAAAAAAAAAAAAGACAGAAAACAAGGTAATTTCAGGTACTGGCCAGTGATATTAAGAGAATAAGAGTAATAGACAAAGAATAATTATGGGGCTGCTGGCCAAAATAGGTCTCAGAGACCTCAACTCAAATCTGAGTTGAGACTTAAGTGACAAAAGAAACCTAGCATGCAAAGACCAGAAGAAAGAGCATTTCAAGAAGAAAACACCGCAAGTGTAAAATAAAGGCCACGAGACAGGACTGAACTTGTCACGTTCCAGTACCAGAGAGAACAGTGTGACTGGACACAGTGAAAGTCGGGACAGAAAGGTCAGACAGGCAGGCAGAAACCAATCGTTACTTGACACAGCATTGTAAACGTAACGGGAAGTCACCACTGGGTTTCAAACAGTTCATCTCTACTTCAGAAAGCCCATTCCAGAAGTGCTGTGAAGACTACAAACAGGGAAAAAAGTCAAGTCCAGAAACCCAGCTGGAAGCTGACACACTGGTCTAAGACTAAGTGAAAAGGACGGCATAAACCGGACTGGGATTACAGTGACAGCAAAAGCAAGAAGTAAATGGAGGAGGGCTATTTCGGAGGTAGAATCAAAAGAATTCATGGGTAGACGAGACAGGAATAGTGCAAGAAGGAATCAAGTAGCATTCCTCAGCACATGGAAGGAACTTGGACCTGATCGTCAGTTGTTTGTGGTGCCATCTACTGAGTTGGGGAAAGGCTGGAAAAAAGAGATTTGGGGACTAAAAGAATCAATAGGGGTTTTAGGGGGCCATGCTTTGTTTGAAATCCTTATTAAATCTCCAACTAGAAATACTGAGCAGCTATTGGTATAAAAGAAACCGAAACTCGCAGGAGTCTTTCAGCCTGGACAAATAGCAGAATCAAAACCCTACAGAACATGTCAGAATTTACAGGAATGGGCGAGATTACAGGAGAAAAAGAGAAAGGAGAGAGAAAGAAGTAGAGGGCAGAACACCGGGTCATTCAAGGTCTGGAGAAGAAGGTGAGAGGGACAAGGACAATGAAAAGGCACAGCATGCAAGATAAGAGGATAAAAGACAGAAAACATGGTGTGACAGAAATCCAAAGAAAAAAACTATTTGAAAAAGGGGTAATCAATTATGTTAAATGCTAAGAGTTAAAGAAAGGTTTCTGAATCTCTGTATCTCTGTGCCAACCCACAATCATTCAAAGATTCCCCCCCCCCTTTTTCAACTAACACAGGAAAACTCACTACAAAAGCGGAGTGATTTGCCCACAAAGAATGCAGATTCCACATGATTTGCCCCCTTATAAACACATTTTCTGGGTTCTAAGATGCCAGCAACTGTCAGAAACACCATCAACTGTGTAACAGCTCTTCAAGAGGGGCAGAAAACTGTAGTCATGTTCTTATCAATTTGAAGATACATGCCAACTTCAAACATTAACACTAGCAGGGTAGGAGTGAATGGCATCAGAAACAGAAATCAACCAGATTAGCGCTGTCCACCTTCTAGAAGAATCAAGAAATGCCAGAACTGCCTTTCCAGGAACCCATCTCCCAAAATAAAGTCAACGTTCAAACATGGCACCGCTAGTGGATGACTTGGTTATTAGATTAAATGTCTGCAAAGAGACAGTTAACGCCTTACAGTCTTGCCTCCATCGGAGCATTTTAGTCACCAACACCTCCAGTGTCGGAGGAGCAGCAGCTAGAGAAGACCACTTGGGGAAAGAAGGACTAGGTAGATGGGCTAGAATGAACCCAGGAAGGGAAAGGCAGTAAGAAAGCAGCCAGCTTGGAGGCACAGGCTTGGAGAGGATCCAAGAAAGATTGCGACTTGAGATGTGGCCTCCGGTGCAGTCGATGCCTGACGTGCAGCTGAAAATCATCTACACAGAAGTCAAATATTGCCAACGCCAGAGCCGGGACACCAGGACTGGTCTGGAAGGGAACCAGCTTCAGACTAGCCAGATGGGATCTAGCTGTCAAGATCTGATTACTTTCAGTCTCTCATTCTG